CCACAGAATGCTGTCTCAGCCTCCAAACATTATGGTTTGAATGAGGGGGTATAAATACTTACTCCACTCGTCCAAGGGATGTCTCTTGTCCATTTGTTCAGCTGAGAAACACCTTGAGAGTGCAAGGGAGAGCAAGAGCCTAATGAGGTGATTGAGATTTGAGAATCCAATATTAAGGTCCTCATTAGTGCAAGGAGAGTAGCAAGTGTGCATCCACCCTTCTCATTAGGCTTGTCGTGGTCAAGTGAGAGTTTATGCTTGTTACTCTTGGTGATCACCATCACGTAGACGGCTCGGTGGTGATTGAGAGCTTGGTGATCATCCGGCGGAGCTTGTGGATGACCCAACTCAAGTTCTGAGTAGTTGTGGGCGATTCACCACGATAGAGTGTCGAAGAATCAGCCCGTAGAGAGCACTTGATCCTTGCGCAGATCAAGGGAGAGCTACACCCTTGCGCGGGTGCTCCAACGAGGACTAGTGGGGAGTGACGACTCTCCGATACCTCGGGAAAACATCGCCGTGTTCCTTTCCCTCTCATTACTTTGAGCATTTACATTTGAGCAATTCATTTTATGTCTTTACATTCCTAGAATTGTCATGCTAGAGTAGGATTGAAACCTAGGCTGCAAAACTTTTGTGCGGTAGAACAATAGAACATATTCTAGGCACGAGGGGTGAAGTGGGCTAAGTATAGGGCTTAATTATTGAAAAGAATTTAGAATTAGCCCAATTCACCCTCCCCCTTGGGCATCTTGATCCTTTCAATTGGTATCAGAGCCTCGTGCTTGTTTAATTAGGCTTAACCGCCTAGAGAAAGATGTCCCACGGGGATGGACCTCCTCCTATCTTTGAGGGAGATGATTTTTCTTATTGAAAAATCCGCATGGAGGCTTATTTAGAAGCTTTAAATGTTGGAGTTCTTAGAGCTGCCTCACAAGGCTTTCCAAAACCTAAGGTTCCCACACCTTCAAGGCGATGAAGTTAATTACAAGAAATAGAATGCAAAGGCTAGAAACACCCTCTTTAGAGGCCTTTGCAAGGATGTTTTTAACCATGTGCGGAACCGCAAGGACGCCCATGCACTATGGTCGGACATTTGTACGCTCTATGAGGGAACAAAGAGTGAGCATGAGGAATGCTACCACCTTGTTATGTAAAAGCTTAATTCATTTGAGATGTTTCCTAGAGAAAGTGCTAATGAGATATACTCACGCTTGAACGTTCTTATAGAGGAAGTCAATGGGCTTGGACTCGCACAAATACAACCCTCTGATGTTGTAAGAAAGATCTTGAGTGTCCTCCCCATTGACAAATATGGGCATATTATGAGGGTGCTTCATCAAGGTGATATTTCCACCGCTACACCAACTCAAATATTAGGAAATATCAATGCACATGAGATGTACATGCACATCACACCATAAGATGACTTTTCTTTCACCAAGAAGAAAGACTTGGCATTCAAGGCTAGCCAAGAGAAGAAGGGCAAAGCAAGAGTTGATCATGATATCTCAAGTGATGATGAAATTGATGATGCAAGTCTTGCTCTCATGGTGAGAAAAACCGCCAAGATGTTCAAGAAACTCAACAAAAACGGTGTCAAGTTTGATGGGAAGAAAAAGAAATTCTTCACTAGCAATAGAAGGAAGCCCATCTCCGAGATGGATTGCTATAATTGTGGAGAACTTGGTCATCTAGCTCATCAATGCCTTAAACCCAAGAAAGATAAATACAAGAAGTACAAGGGCAAGAAAGATGACTCAAGTGATGAAGATGATGATGAGAAGAAAAAGAACAAGCCATACAAGAAGAAGGATGGCAAGAAGAATGAATTCCACAAGAAGAAGAAGAATGTTAAGGCATACATTGTTGGTGATTGGCTTACAGATATTGAGTCATCAAGTGACTCATTCGATGATGAAAGTGAGAATGAGAAGGTAGCCGCTATTGTAATTGATTTTTCACTATGTTCACCGACACCGCCGCCGTCATCCTCTACACACCTATGCCTTATGGCCAAGGATAAACGAAAGGTACAAAAGGGTGATGATAGTAGTGGTGATGATAATGCTAGCAATGATGAAAGTGGTAGTGATAGTGATGATGAATTTGAATCACCTTCTTATGATGATCTTGTCAAGTTGCTAAACCAATACACTAAAATCATTAGAAAGACAAGAGCAAAAAATAAAAAGCTAGAACTTGAGAATGACTCACTCTTAGCAAAATATGACATTGCTGAACAAGTTAGTGTTGAGCTTAGAGAAGAAAATAAAACTATGTCATTCAAACTCAAGGAGCTCAAATCCTCTAAAAAGGAGCTTAAAGAAAAATATGATAAACTTGAGGGGATACATAATAAACTCACCACTAGCTACAATTTGCTAAAAGAAGAGCACCAATCTCAAGGTTAATCATGATAATCTTATTGTTTCTCATGAGTTATTATCCAATGAGCCATATGATGCTACTAACAATATTGTTAAGATTGATATAGCTACATCATATGATGACTTGATTGTTGAGAGCATTAAGCAAGGTTCTAGTAGCAAAGGCAAGAAAGTGGTTGAGTCCGACAACTATGATGACTATGTCAAGCTCAAGAATGAGAATAAAAAGCTCAAGAAAGATCTTGAAAAGCTATCAACCACCAACACAATTGTGATAGAGAACCTTGACCATGATTGTGATATAGCTTTTGAAAATGAGAAGTTTAAAGAAGAGAACAAGAGACTCAAAATAGGGAAAAATCATGATGAACTTAAAGAAGAGAACAACAAGCTCAAATTGGAGAAAGAACATCTCAACACCGGTTTGAGCAAGTTCACAAGATGCCAATATCTCCAAAGTGAGCTACTCATGAACACCGTGATGAAGATGGATAGAAGTGGAATTGGGTACTTGGCAAATCAAGAGAAGAAAGCTCAAGCTCAACATCAACAACAACACAAGTCAAAGCCTAAGCCAAAGAGATGTGTTGAATGTAGACAAGAAGGTCACTTTGCCCATGAGTGTCAAACTCCACCACCATAACCCTTGCTCAAGCATGCTAAACCCTTTGGCTTCAATGCTCATTTCATGCTTAGAAAGGATTCTAGTGGAAAAATGAAAGTCATATTCTTAGGTCCTCCCAACAAGACTAGGCCTAAGAAAATTTGGGTTGCAAAATCACTAGTTGAGAAAGTCAAGAGCCCTCATCAAGTTTGGGTCCCTAAACAACAAGCTTGATCTCTTGTGTGTAGGTGAACTACAAGACCAGTGGAAGTCATTGGGTTATTGATAGTGGTTGCACTCAACATATGATCGGTGATCCTTGTATGTTCACCTCACTAGATGAAGAAGTAGATGGTCAAGAAAGGATAACATTTGGTGATAATTCAAAGGGCAAAGTTTAAGGATTGGGCAAAGTTGCAATATCAAATGATCATTCAATACCAAATGTGATATATGTTGCTTTATTGAGTTTCAACTTGCTATCCGTTGGTTAATTGTGTGATCTTGGCTTTTAATGCTTGTTTACCGAGAAGGAAGTGGTTGTATCAAAGAAAGATGATGATCAAGTTATATTCAAGGGCTTTAGATACAACAATCTATATCTAGTGGATTTCACATCCGAAGATTCAAACTTTAAGACATGTCTATTCACCAAAACATCACTTGGGTGGCTATGGCATAGAAGACTTGCACATGTTGGGATGAGCTCACTCAAGAAGCTAATGAAGACTGAATTGGTGAGAGGTTTGGAAGATGTGAAATTTGAGAAGAACAAGTTTTGTAGTGCATGTCAAGCCGGCAAGCAAGTTGCAAACACTCATCCTACAAAAGCTTACATGTAAACAACAAGAGTGCTAGAGCTCCTTCACATGGACCTATTTGGACCAACAACTTACAAGAGTTTAGGAGAAAATCTCTATTGTCTTGTGATTGTTGATGACTACTCTAGATATACGTTGGTGTTCTTCCTTCGTGACAAGACTGAAGTTGCATCATATTTCAAAAAGTTTGCCAAGAGAGCACAAAATGATTTTGAAATGAAGCTCAAGAAGATAAGAAGCGACAATGGAAAAGAATTTGACAATACAAATATTGAAGCATATTGTAATGAAGTTGGAATCAAGCATGATGTCTCCGCAACATATACTCCTCAACAAAATGGTGTAGTAGAGAGAAAGAACCGGACGCTTATTACACTTGCAAGAACAATGCTTGATGAGTACAACACACCCGAAGCTCTATGGGCCGAAGCTATCAACACCGCATGCTATGCATCCAATCGCCTATTTCTTCAAAAGTTTCTTGGCAAGACCCCTTATGAGTTGCTCAATGGGAAGAAGCCGGACGTATCATTCTTCCGGGTATTTAGTTGCAAATGTTACATCTAAAATATACCCCCTCCATCCCTATATAAATAGATTTCTAGAGTTATCCTAAGTTAAACTTTTTAAACTAACTAAATTTTAGAAAAATCCATCAAGATTTATGGCATCAAATTAGTATCATTAGATATACCATAGAATATATTTTTATGATGTGTCTATTTTATGTCGTAGATATTGTTACTCTTTTCTATAAAATTAGTCAAACTTAGGATAGTTATGACTGACTTGAAGCTAGTCTTGGCTTTATATTCTCATCTCCGCATCTCGAGAGAGATGACAATGTAACTTGCCAAGTCTCGTCTAACGTAAATAAAAAAAATAAAAAAACCTATTTTAGTTTAATTGTCTAGCTGTAGCTCGATTAGTTTAATTTGTTCTGACAGAACCATTTTAGTAATCCACCCGACGCGTCCTGTAACGCTAATCTAGAATTTGACTGACTTGAAACTACTCTTGGCTTTATAATCCCATCTCCGCATCTCGAGAGAGATGCCAATGCAACTTGCCAAGTCGTCTCGAGTATTAGCCGGCATCACTAGGTAGCTTCGAGCACCCAAGCCACAACAAACAGATCCATCGAGTAGCTTGCTGTAGTGGAGATCAGGCACCAAGAGCGCAACAATGGCGGAGTTCGCGCTTGGGCTGACCAAGATGGCGGTGGAGGGGACGGTGAGCAGGGTCAAGCTGGCGATAGAGGAGGAGGGGAAGTTGAGGGTGAGGGTGGAGAACGACCTGGTGTTCATCACCGGCGAGTTCCAGATGATGCAGTCCTTGCTCAAAATGGCCAACGTGAAGGGTGCCAAGAACGAAGTGGTCCGGACCTGGTTGAGGCAGGTTCGCGACCTGGCCTTCGACGTCGAGGACTGCATCGAGTTCGTCGTCCACCTGGACAAGAAGTCGGCCTGGGGGTGGCTGCGGCGGTTGGGGCGCATGGTGGTGTCCTGCAATGCACCGCCTCTGCCCCTGGACCAGGCGGTCGACGACATAAGGCGGCTCAAGGCCAGAGTCGAAGATGTGAGCCAGAGGAACACACGCTACAACCTCATCGTCAGTGACGACTCCGGCTCCGGTTCCGGCTCCAACTCCAAGGCAGTGTCGATGCAGGCCACCCCCGGTGCAGCAGCAGCAGCAGCAGCATTCCGCACCCTAAGAGAAGTGTGGGAGGTCACCGGCAAGTGGCGCAGCACGGGCGACCTGCAGAAGTTGGTCATGGGTGAAGGCAGTGACCTCCAAGTGATCTCCATATGGGGAAACACAAGCACACGGGGGCTGCTGATTTTGGCGCAGCATCCTTATTCAGCAAGATGTACAACGACCCAGCCATCTCTGGAGAGTTCAGAACACGCGCTTGGGTGAAGCTGATGCATCCTTTCAACCCCGATGAGTTTCTCAAGTGTTTGCTTAGTCAGCTCCACGCCTGCTCTCACCAAATGGACATAGATATGGGCTTCTGGAGAAGGATGAAAGTAGCCATGGCTGAGGAGGAAGATGGTCTCACCAAGGCCAAACTCATGCAGGAAGTCATGAGCAGGCACAGGTATCTCATTGTCCTGGAGGAAGTATTCTCTGTGATAGAGTGGAATGTCATCAAAATGTACCTGCCAGACAGTGAGAATGGTAGTCGGATCGTTGTGTCCACAAGGCAGTTAGAGGTTGCACTTCTAACCACAGGGAAGCCGTACCAAGTATCAGAGCTTAAACACTTCTCCGATGATCAATCTCTTTGTGCCTTTTCCAAGAAGGTAAGCCCATACTTTCAAGATAAGATACTACTACTTGAGCTATACATATAATTATATATTATATATTCCTATTGTTTCGTAATATACTACTGTTTGGTATTGTTATATGTCGATTTTTTTTTAAGTTTGACCAAAGCTATAAAAATATCATCAACACCCAATAAACACTGTCCAAATATTTTTCCAGTCTCTTTCAAAAAAATGTATTTGCAGACGAATCTAGTGATATTAATTTAGTGTTGCAAGAAGCCAGAGCAAGGAAAACATCATGAGCAGCAACTCTTTCCTCACCAATCAACACTGGTTTTGGGCATCCTGCCACTTTTTTTCAACGATTCTGCACAGTGAGACATGCTTAAGCACGGATAGCTAAATGATGTAAAGCTAATAGGGTCAAGTAATAAATGATCTAAAGCGAGACAGCATTTGGGCCGTCTGCATTATAATCTTCATTAACTAATTCATCTATGTTCTTTTATATGACAAGTTGGTCTTTTTCCCCATATTTTGATAGGCAAACCATATCATTTACTCTTCTCAAGAGGTGTGCCATCATTATATACTCATCTAGGCCATTCAATTACCTTGTGCACTCTAATTTATATAGTTTCAAACAAATATGATACGTATGTTTGATATTTACTTTTGTTATTGCCTTATCGGTAAAGTTCGTCATACATCTATCTCCACCCCACCTATTACTTTTTTGGTTCGATCTGCCACTGTTAATGATAGATATACTCCAACCATTCCAAGTTATAAGCCATTTTGAAAGCCAAAACGGCTTATAATTTGGAATGCAGGGAGTATTAAATCTGAACCTTGCCTGTAATTTAACAATTTTGTTTCTTGCTTGCAGTATGGTCGTCGCAGTGGTAAGGGTGAACTTATTTGGCAAATAAGATGCCGTGGTGTGATTTCCGTGTTTGGGAATGATGCTATCAAAACAACTCTTGTCAATAAAGTGTACACAAGAATAGTGCATAAGTGGAAACAACTCGAAGGATTGGAATTTGAACGGCACAGCTGGGTCGATGTACCCGTTCCGTTCAATTTGGAGGTCTTCTCTCGGCGCTTACTTCTCAGCTTATGTTCAGAAGACCATATCTCTGAAGAAATTGCAGCGATTGGTGTGATGAGAGACCCATGCCTCACTGAGGAGTGCTGCAAGTTTCTTCATGAACTTGACTGCCTCCTCGTTATCAATGGTCTACAGTCCACGCATGATTGGGACTCGATAAAAGCTGCCTTTTTATCCGAGCCTACCAAAGGCTGCATCCTTGTCATTACGAATGAAGCAAGTGTTTCCACACATTGTGCACAAGAGGAAGGTGCAGTTCTGAATATGGAAGATATGAAAGCCGACGTTATGCTTCGTCCATTGCTAAAGGTATGCGTGGTTTAGTCACCTCAAGATCAAACCCAATTCTCTCTGTCATATGATATCTTGTTGATGTGAAAACACGCATATTAATATTATATATTGACGGAGGAATGGAGGCGGATAACGGGAGGGTCCTTTTTCTTATTGATTTAACTGTTCTCTAACTTTACTTGTAGGGTTCTGAACATTGTGAAAGGGGAGGCGTTGGGCTAGATGACAGGGGTCGCCCTTTCTCTGTCAGAAGGGAACAGTCACGTGAATGGTTGAGGCAGTTCGGACCGTATTGCCGTAAAATGGATGAGTTAGATCTATGTTTACGAAATCCTGGTGTTATCTCGTTGTGGGGGCCTGGTGCTGGGAAATCAGCTCTCATCAGATGGATGTACTGGATGTACTACGACACGATGGTTAGATCTGAAGCTTCTTGGGAATCAGGATATGAAAAGCAGCCGATTAATTTACCTGATAGAACTGAAAAGTTTAGCTGGGTCCATGTGCCCCATCCTTTCGATTTGACAGAATTCTCTTGCCGCTTATTGTTGGATTTTCATTCGGATGATCATCGATCTAAGAAAACTGCAGCACTTAGTATGATGGAAGAAGGGCAAGACTCAACTGAAGAGTGTTGCAAGTTTCTGTGTAAATACCAATGCTTGGTTGTTATTGATGGTATTCAGTCCACGCATGAGTGGGACACGATAAAAGTTTCCTTCTTATCCAAGCCTATGAAAGGGTCTATTGTTGTTATTACAGATGAAGCAACTGTTGCCACGTATTGTGTAAACCACGAAGAACACAGAGTGATAAAGGTCAACAATAAAGATTTGGACGGGGCCCCTAGTCCCCCTGTTAAGGTGCGTTGTTCTGATCAGCCTATCCTCTTCTGTGTAATCTAGATACTAATTCAATTGAAATATGTCTATTGTCCATGTCGAACATTTTACTTCTATAATCTCTTATTAATTTCAGAACCTAAACTTTCTAACCCAGGCCATTTTAGTCATTAACTCATTATGTTTGTTTAGGACATTAGGAATAGCAGTGTAAATCCCAACATTGGACCAAAATTAAACTTTTAAGATCATGATTTTAAAACCCATTCCCTCCATATAGTTCAACCAATTTTGAATGTTGCATTAAAAGGTTTGTTTTCTAAGCAAAATACGTAAAATTGAGTTCTCACCAAATTTCTCAAATGGGTGTAGTACTGACTGAAATTCAGTACTGTTCAGTACTCGCGTTTCAGTATTATTCAGTATTTCAGGATACTAGGTGTAGTACTGACTGATACTGAACGCGGTTCAGTACTACTCAGTATTTTATATATATATATATATATATATATATATATATATATATATATACACACACACACACATGTGTGTGTGCCTAGTGCTTTTTATTTCTGGTAGTCCAGCTTATTATTTATTCAAGTGGTATTGTTCATATTATTAGTTGACTACATGAAGTTTGAGCCCCCATATTATTTAGAGATAACGGATGTACCATAGCAAAGCCCATTTATGAAACCTTTTACTTAATCATGCAATCAATATAAAGTAGAGCATTACCTATACAATGCTCAAATGGGACCAAAATATATAGAGCCACCCTTTTTTAGAGGTTCAATTGTGCATCTTGTATCAGTCCCTCTGTTTGTAGCTAGGACGCGTGGATTCAACAAAATATAACATAACCATACATCATAGAATCATATTACCTAATATTAGCACAAAAAAGTTGAAATAGCAGAGTGGTCAATAGCCCATCGTTTATAGGCAGCATGGAACTTGGATGCAGACATAACCCTAGCTCTTCGCTCGTACTTTTGCAGCTTCCCTCCTAAAATAGAAAATAAGGCATCTCAGACGTGGGCATAAATCTAACTCTTCCTTCATACTTCTGTAGCTTGTCTCCTAAAAAAAGAAAATAAATGAAAGGGCTAAATGCATAACATAGTCAACAAGTCCCAACATTAGGTTTAAGTGAAGGGAATGGGAGGTTCATCAAGTGTAGGTCCTAGGGGTAGATTTATGAAAGAGTAGTTTGGGTTGTAGAGCTTGTTTGGGTTATGGTTACTACGGGGTTTTGGGATAGGTTTTTTAAATTTAAAAAAAAGACTCTAAATGGGGTTTGAGACAAAATAAAGTTTTTTAAATCCATATAAATGTACGGTTTTGGAAAGAAAGTTTTTTAATAGATTTTGAAAAGACGGTTCTAAATCAGGTTTAAGATAAGGTTTTGAAAAGAAGGTTTTAGCATTTGGTTAAAACATGAGTTTTAATAGAAGGTTTGTAAACAATTTTTAAAATCAAGTTTGAAAAAGGATTTTAAAATGTTGACCGCTTCTCGAATACCAGATACTTTATAATACGAAGTAAGTAGAAGTCTTTTTAATTAGAACGTAGTGTTTTAGGGTAATTTCTGTGTGTACAACTTCTATGCATATAACTGGTCTTGCTAATCAAAGGAATTTGTACAGGATTGTCCTTCTCACTTATTTTCCAATAGAAGGGGAGAGGCACGTAACTGGACCAACAAATATAGACTTCTTGGGCATCAGAATGGATCGGCTCATCTACTTTCCCGTGGCGTAAGGTACTCATGTCCTGGTGTGACCTCGGTGTGGGGCATTGCTGGTATTGGGAAATCAATTGTCGTCAGAAGTGTGTACTGCCACTTGATGCTCGTGGAGCAATGGTTGAAATATAGAGAGCACCAAGTCCACGTTTTGGTTTGGAATTGCCCGAATTTCACCATGTACAGCTGGGCCGATGTGCCCCATCCATTCAATTTGACAGATTTGTCTTGGCGGTTACTTCGTGATTTTTATTCAGATGATCTTGACGCTAAAAGCACAGCAGCAATCGGTATCATGGAAGGCCAAGACCCAATTCAAGAGTGCCGAAGATATCTCCGAGAACACAGATGCCTTGTTGTTATTGACGGCCTACGGTCCAAAGATGACTGGGAGTTGATAAAAGCTGCCTTCTTGCCCGATTCGACCAAAGCCTGTATTGTTGTGATTACAAATGAAGAAAGTGTGGCCAGGCATTGTGTTGATAATAAGGAACACCAATTGGTCAACGTCAAAGGTCTAGAAGCTGATAGGGCCCTAGATCTCTTTAAAGAGGTATGTGTCCTCTCGACCATTGGCTTGCTTTATTTGCCACTGGGTTGGAAGTTTGGAACTCTACAATTGTATCATATTTTAGTAAATTATTTTTCCTTATAGTTATACCCCTTGTTTGTCACTTGTGACAGGGGGATCGATTACCCCATATTCAAATCCTTGCCACTTTTTACCAACAAATACTAGTAAAGAAAACAAAAATTAGAGGTGGGCAGGCTGTCCACCAAAAAATTATATCTTTCCCGATACTTCAACCCCACGGCCTATGTAACACCCCAAAACCTCCCTACCTAAGATGCCACCACAAAAGATAGAAACTAGAGCAATCAACAACAATTTTTGCAGCATCTCCCCTTAAAACAAGAGCAACGCGGAAGCAACGACATATAGAGAGATATAAATAAGCACACTACCAAGATATAGCATCCTAATAAGCATATAAGCCTCAATGACAGACTACAAGAATCAACCTAACAAGAACCACAAGTAGAATCTCCACTTCTAATCATGCTATTATTACAACACAAGTTTTCACACTAAAAGATGACATGAACATGCCGAGTGTGCCGCTACTTTCCCACCCTTCAAGCAAAAGCCACATGATCATTTGGAAAGATAGAAAGGAGGTGTGATATAAAAACCTCAGCAAGTAAACTGCTTTAACAAGCTATTTAAACTACAAGTTCATTAAGCATCAATTTAGTCTTCACTTATATGTAAACCAACAATAATGAGATACATCCAACAAGTGATACAACCTCATATAAGATAAAGATTAATCACCACCATTGGAGAAGCATAGCTTAACACAACTCTCCCAAAGCCTTAGTCCAAGGCCATCATGTCATAGGCCGAGATTATAATGCATATGCAATGCAAATGCCATGTCTCTTGCCTTCATACACAACTAGGTATGAAGCCGCATCGTTATGCCCAATAAACAATGTTGTACCGGTATGGTCGCAGCTAGCAAGCGGCGACATAACTCCATATGCCAATGAATGAATGAATGAGATGCAATGCAAATGCCACAGAAAGAGAGATAAATAATCACATAATACCATGAGCATCTCTCCATGTAAACAACAAGTCATATTCCATTGAATCAACATGAGCATCATCAAACCATAAACATAACACCATGGGCATCTCTCCATGTAGACAACAAGCCATATTCCATTGAATCAACATGAGCATCATCAAACCATAAGTGTAGGAACATAGATATTCAAATAGAGAGCATAGAGCATGTGACAATTCTATAACATGGCTGAGATATAATATTATGTTGGATTGGGTTTTGGATTTTTTTAAGGTGGAGGTAGAATAAATAACAAGTTAGAGCTTGTAGCAAACCACCACTACGTTTACTTGCCTCCAATGAAGTGTGTGCGATCTGAAGCAGCTTAAGTAGTATAATGTCAGAGGTAGAACTCATTTCAACAAATATACATAGTAGGTAAAGCGCTCCTATACCTCAACCCGACATACAAGCAAAACAACAAACAAAGCATCAAGTCAAATGCAGCAGTGCTGCTTCACCTCTTTGTATCATGCAGTCTATAAAGGTTATGATAGCAGACAAATACACTTTTGGAATCTACGCAACAGGGCCTACAACTTTCATGAAGAGCTTGTATTTTTATCATGCCTTTAAGATGGCCTAAACTGCTGTTGAAAACAGATTACAGAAACTATCTAAGAATTGAGACAACAAGCTTTACATTTTCATATCTCCAAATCCTTAAGTCCAAAAATTATGAAATTTAACAAGGGAGCAGATAATTTCATAATCTACAACTTCAGTAATATTCACTTTCTCAGTAAGAGTCATCTAGATGGCCTAAAACATGTCCAAACCTTAACTGAAACTCCTGCCAAGGAAACAATACATTTAGATTTGAAAATCCATACCTAGAGTTCCCTTATCCAAAAATCATCATACTTACCAATTTGGAAAGCTAATGAAAATTACTAAAAACTTCTCATATAAGGGTTTTGAAAACCCCCTAGATCTAGTTCTGCCCAGAACTTTGTCAGAACATGACAGCTGACATTGAAAACACATATCTCTGAAACCACTTGGGATAAAATCATGAAATTTCACAAGCTAATAGATCTGAAGGTCCTCTAGAAGTTTTGTATTATTCACTTTTGGAGAACAAGTGATTTAAATCACGGAAACTATAACAGCTACAGTGCCCAAACTATTAGGCAGCAGAATTCTAGATTGAATCCCTAAGGCAATTCCACCCTCGAAACCCCTAAATTCCAAGACCAAAGACCATACAAAACACCACAATCAGAAGACTCCAAGGGGAAAATCATCTCACCTTGGCTATCCCCAACCTAGGGCAGCAAGAAACGGTGGGGAAGAAGTCGATCTACACCCAAGATGCAGCTCTACTCGATCCTCTCCTCCTCTTCAATCCATTTCCCCTCTTTTCCCTTGGTTATTGCTGATTTAGAGGAGGTGCTAGAGAGGGATAGGTGCAGGGAAGAGGAAGGGGACGTGCTATAGGAAAAGGGAGGTCAGATAGGAGAAAAAAAGAAGCGTACCAGGGAGAGGAACGCTGTCTGCAGAGGGTAGAGGGGGACGGCTTGGCCCTCTTCCGAGCCATTTTTTGATGTGTTACAACCTACAATTTAACACTGACACCTTTCTTTATCTTCAAAGCTGGCTCTATGGCCTTGTTATTGAAACCAAAGGCTCGACAGAATCGTGAGCTACCAAACTTTTTACAAATTCTTGGAGGGGGTTTGTCCAAATGCAAGACTCACCTGGGTCCCAACTCATCCCCAGACTAGCTAGCTCATGCGCTACTGAATTACAGGATCCAGGAATAAGAATAACGTCGTTACAAAAGAAGTGTTGCCGTAGGAGATCCCCTGTGGCAGAACCGCCCAAAATAGCACACTTACGGAGGCGCTCGTCTTCCACCAGACACTAAGCACCCCGAAAGCAAGCTATAGCGGGCGGTATCCGTCGGGCACACCCCGAGGGAGAACCCGAAAGATCCACATTTTTCCCAAGGATCCAATAATGAAAACGAGTTACAACACAAGTCCATCGCATACATTAGAGTTCTTAGAAAGTACATTATTACAATACCAAATACAGAGTGCGGAATGATAAACAGCGGAATATTAAAAGATAACATCTAGCGATAAGATTACGAGTTTTTTGTCTGAGCCCACCAGAAGAATCCTCCACACAAGGTACTCCTCAAGCATCACCTGCAACAGGGGTAAATAAACCCTGAGTACACAATGTACTCGCAAGACTTATCCGAACAGTGGGAATACTTTCCCGACTCCAAGGAATATGCTAGGCTTTATGGTTGCGGGTTTTCTTTAGCAGAAAGCAATACTAATAGTGAGTCCTTATTGATGCTTTATTATTATCAGCCGTATTAAGTTTTCATCTAGTCAATCTATATAAGCACCTGTTCTACTTTCAAGCAAGAGTTGAGCAATCGATATGTTCCTTCTCCTTTTCCACTTTCAGTTCTTACTACGGTGCTAAACCGCAGACAACCTGTACCGAATAACCCGGCGATTCGCGAATCAATGTGCCCAGCTGGGTGCCCCGAAACACACACCCCGCTTGTACCCTAGGCACAAGCAGGGCTAACCCATCACCCTCCTGTCCCGGGTGTCCAGGTCCCCATCCAAACTTGGACTCCGAGTCCCCACATCCTGAGTCCCGGACTCAGTGTGGTGCAAGGACCTCCACCACCTCCTCTTCCCATCAGTCGGTCCAGAAAGAGCCGGATTCGCGACAAGAGAGCAACAGACCTTCCCTGCGCCCATACCCAAGTATATGCTCGGGACAATAATCTGTGACTTGCCTAGAGTCATATGCAACGACCGGTCCTTAATCGACACAGACAGGGAAAAAGTGTAACCGGGTTATGCCCTGTTGGCCGCAGGACACAACCCCTCACACCCACCAGTACCAAATCCACATCCCTGCCCGGTCACCATTTTCCTTTCCATTATTTCATCATGATATCATAGTTTAATCACCTATTTGCGAGTAACGACAGGTTACTCACGCTACAGACATCCTGAGCATAGCAACTACTCGACCTGTACTAGTAGGACTCATGGTGGATATATTTATGCATGTAGTTTCCATAAAATGCCTGTAACGTAAATGCATATCATATAATATATTCAGTGACCATTTAAAAATAATAGGGGTTATGCACCGGGGCTTGCCTTGGGCAGGTGCCGGGTCAGCAAAGTCAGTACCAACAAGCTCCTAGGCTCCCTCCTATGTGAAGAGCTCCTCCTCGTACTCCTCGATCACCTCATCGTACTCCGGCTCACCGACGGGTACGAAGTCTACCTGTTCGTGATCTACATGAAATGACGATGCAATGGTTAACACTACGGCAACAGAAATTCTCAATGCAAAAGTACCTCTATTAAACTACTAAGTGACATTTACCCAGTAAAGTCCAAGCTACGTACCAGCACTACTAACAAGCATGAACGTGTCCTACATTCTTACGGTGACTACGGATTTTCCTACTCCTAATGCCAGTTTACGATACATACTCGAAAGCAAGGGTAATAACTATGCCATTAAACGACTCGCTCTATGGTTACCACTTTTACAGCAAGTATATAAATACCTAAGGAACCTACTGTCACGATTTCAAAGCTAAAGCTATTGTCGGTTTACCACAACAAATCCTGCAATTAAAGATCGATATACCGCTAAGCTTTCTACTTGAATCTTATGAGCCTACCATCCTAACAGCTACTGGTGAACTAACTGTACTAACAGGTAGATGACATTTTTGTGAACCTAACAAATTTAGTTTCGCTATTTTTGAACAACCATGCAATTTACTACGATTTATCGAAGTTGGATTCATAACAGGAAATAAATAAGCATTTCAATTTCCAGGAAATAATGAAAACCGAAACCTCCTTTGTCGGCCCACAACGCCCGACCCGATCCAACACGTTACCCTGCCCGCTCACGACGGAAGGCTAGCGCGCGGCCCACGCGGAGGCGCAGCCCAGGCGGCCAACGGCCCGCGACGGTGACGGCCTGCGCGCGAAGGCAATTATGCACGGGCACCCCTGAACTATAACGAAATCGCAGCGAACTCTAAGCCACTATTAAATCAGTCTGCGCTTTTACAACAGCACCCTCCGACTTCTACGTCTTTACCGTGGCGAAGTCCCTGACCATCCAGGGCGCGCACCGGCGTGACGGCGCGGCACTGGATGTCTACGTCGGCCACCCCAGCCCTCCCCTTACTAAAATAAAGAGCCGACACTCACCTATGCGCGA